TATCTTGATCAGTGATAATTCCATTAGGAGCAACATCCATGCATTCAAGCCAAGAACGAAATAGCCATACAAATGTCTCTTTGTCCTTATATGAAATTAACCCACAACCTAACAATGTCAAATGTCCATGATGATTAACCCCCACAAAAGCCGCAAATGGCATATCATACTTGTCCGTCAGATATGTTGTGTTGAAGGTCACAACATCACCGAAATCTTTATATGCGGGCCTACATCTAGCATCAATCCATAGTACATTCTTCAATCGATTCTCTTCATCTACATCAATCATGTACCAGAAATTTGAATTCTCCTTTTGCATTTTCATAAAATACTCTAGCATTGCCGAAGCATCTCTAACTCCAAGTCGTAGTCTTCTAACTTTTTCAATGTAATTTCTACAATTTTTTTTTAGAAATGTCAAATTCTCTACACCTCCTGCCTCAACTGAACATGACTAAAAAATTTTACACGGTCTAATCCCGGCTTGATCATTAACTTCAAGCCTCTTTTTCACAAAAGGTTGTATCGTTCAGTTTACCTTGAAATATCTTCTTTTCGTCGGACTTGTAAGATCATGGTTACGTTCAAGTACAACTGATTTAATTTCCCATTTGTATTCACCATTCAAAGCTGCACTAATCCGACTCTCACAATCTGTTTTTGCAATAGGTTGTTTTTTCAAGGTATTTCTGCATTTACTTCTCTCATTCCCAAAACAAGAACACGCCACTATCACGTATCTCATCTCCCCATCATCTCCTTTCTTTGACGTACGTATTATTGCTTCAAAACCCATTTTGTTCCCATACCTTCTGTAATACTTCACCAAACTATCAACTGAATCAAACACCATTCCAATATGAGGCTCCATTTCTCTTCTGCACATCTCGTATCTTCTAATTCATCACATTCATTTTCCTGATTCAATGGTTTTATAATAAAGAAAATTAGAATGTGAACACATCATAATAAATAATACAATACACCATATTTAAAAAAGTTTCAAACACAATTTACCTCAACATTATTGAAACGAGGCAAACTGGACTCTTCTATATTCAGTTATTTCATGCACAACTAATACCAGTTTTCACGTTCACGAATCTAGTTCACAACTGTCGCCAACAAATATTATCTATCAAACAAATATTCAATCCAAAATAGAATAGGAAACTAAATGAATATATAAAATAAGTCAAAAATTCTTTACCTTAACAAAAAAAATCCGAGCTTTAACAGGTTTGATATTTATTTTTGTTTCTCAATTATATCTATAAAATGAGGTATTGCTGCTGGTGCTTGGCTGTTGAGGAAGCAACCGGCGTCAAAGCAAGAATCACAACACACAACGAAGGAGAAGCGAAGAAAAACAAATGGCGCAAATGAAGAACAGAAGAAAAACAAATGATGAAGACGAAGGAGAAGAGAAGAAAAAAATTTTGGCGCTTACAAATGAAGCGTATTAGACAAGCCATTCATTAATATTAATTAAACAAAAAAAAAAAAAAAATTCAACAAATATGGACGCCAGTCCATGTAGTTTGGACGGTCGTCCAAACTACTTGGACTGGCATCCATCTAGTATGGACGGTCGTCCAAACTACTTGGACTGGCGTCCATATTTACATTATATTTTGAAATAATTAAAATTTCAAAAACTGGGGACGACAGTCCATCTAGTATGGACGGTCGTCCCTACAAGATGGACGGCCGTCCACAACAGATGGATTGCTGTCCTGTTATATTTTAAAACTATTTTAATAAAAAAAATTCACAAACAATGGACGGTAGTCCATCGTTTCAAGACAGTGTCCCTATAGGAAGGACGACTGTCCACAGAAGATGGACTGGCGTCCATCTTTATGGACGGCCATCCATATTAACTGGACACCCATGCATAAAATTTGGACGGGCGTTCATTGTTTTTTTTTTTTTTTTTAAAACAAAACAACTTTTTATGGACGGTCATCCATTCCACTATGAACGACCGTCCAGGATGTATGGACGGCCATTTGAAACCTGTTGGACGACCGTCCATTTATGTCAGTATTCAATCATCCAACGTGGCGGCCTCCACGTGTTTCGTTGTAATTTTTCGGTGGATATAACATTTTTGTTAGTATATTGGGTGAATTGGGCCAAAACCAAAACCCAAACTGTAAGTAAAGGGTAGAGATGGGTTGGGCTTTGCTTCCTCCGCACAAACTTCCCATCTTACATTATTCATGTTCAAGTTACAATTTTTATTTCTATTACAATTCCTGTTCCAATCACTATTTCTATGCCAGTCACTATTCTTATTTCGATCACTATTCCTATTTTGGTTACTATTCTTATTCCGATAAATATTCATATTTTAGTTATTATTGTTATTTCTGTTATTATTGCTTATACTGGTTACTATTCTTATTCGGATCACTATTCCTGCTTTTGTTACTATTCTTATTTCTATTTTTATCACTATTCTTGTTCTGGTTACTATTCTTATTCTGACCACAATTCCTATTCTGGTTACTATTCTTATTCCCATCACTATTCCTATTCTGGTTACTATTCTTATTTCCAAAACTATTCTTATTTTGAACACTATTCCTATTATGGTTACTATACTTAAACTTGAGTTTTTGCCTTGACACAGCAAGAGGCCTCGGCTACGCTAGAGGCTGTAACTAATACGTTATCTATTTTTGGCCATAAGGCCCTTACTTTGATTAATCATGGATCCACTTATTCGTACATATCATATGCAATTGCAGAGTTTGTTGGTCGAGTTTTAGAACTCAAGTTTAAGTGTAATTTAGTGGTGGCTACCCTCGTTGGTGAGATGGTGAAAAGACTTATTGCATCACCTATATTTATGGGTTCCAAGCGTTAGTCTTGATTATGAATGAGATACTTTTTGGATGAGACAATCAGAGTGACGCAGCAGAAGCATGGTGTGCCCATAACCTTTTGTAGAGAATATATGCCCATGTCAAGTGTCAATGAAGAAGAACTGAATAAAATGTTTCTAAACCATAAGTGCTTATTACAGGAATTATCCACATATTTCTCCATGTGCGTACAATTCGAGGATGAAATTTCTTTAAGGGGAAGATGTAATACCCCATGTTTTATGGGGTTTTCTATGAAGCTTTTTGTGTGTGTGTGTGTGTGTTTTCGGGGGTAAAATGTAAGCTTTGAAAAAGAGAATATGTTGGGTTTGCAATTGCATGGTCAAGGGGGCAAAAAAATGTTTTGCAAGAAAAAGCAGATGTGGGGGGTTTTCAAAAATTAAGTGAATTTTGGGGGAATATTGAAATTTTGAAAGTGTCATATAAAAACTTAAAAAGAAGAAGAAGGCGGCAAGAAGCCGAGAGAGAAGAGAGGAAAGAGGGGGAGAAGAGAATGAAGAAATGGGTAAGTAGCCGATTAAGGATATTGGTGAGAGTCGATTTCACCCTTGTTGCTTGAGTAAACATGCATGTCAATTTTTGTTTAATCCACTTCCTATTTTCTGTAAATTTCGAACTCTAAGCTCATCTCCCCCTATTCTTGATTCAATAGGAGAAGGAGAGGGAGGATCATAGGGAAGTTCCTCCAAATTGTCTTAGCATCAACCGTTGAGTGGAAAAAACTAAGATTTCTCTTTAATTTCAAGCTTGCATGTTTAAATAAATTTAATCATTGAATGGGTTTGAAGGTTTGTGTTGAATTAAGGTGTTTAATTGAATTTTTGACTTGAAATTGTTGATGGAACTTACATGCAAGGAATGTCTTTGTTTTTAAAAGGATTGCATGTGTTGGATGTATTGTTTTTTGGTGGCATTGAATGGTGGTTGTTGATGTTGAAGAGTATATGGAGAAGAGCTTTTACACGTGCAAAATGTTTGTTTTTAAGGCATGCATGTTAAAGGTTCGGTTGATTTTGATGTTTGTCATGTGAAACATTTGTTTGTCAAAAATTTAGTTCACTAATTTAAAATTTACTTTAAAACCATGTTGAATTAATGTGTTGTGGGTGGATTGACCCTTAAATTGGCTGGTAGATTCGATTGGGAGTGTTGATTATCATGTATGGAGATGAATTATGGTGTTAAACTGAAATTGGGAGGTTGAGTGCAATAATTTTATATGGGCAGGATATGTGTGTGTGTGTGTGTATATATATATATATACTGATCCTAAAGAACCAAGAATTATTAAAGTATGTTTTTGATTATAAAAAGGTTGTGCTGTGAAATTCTGACAGCCTGAAACTTCCGAAAATTTTGTATATGTTTTGAGTTGTAATTTAAGCCAAAGTTCAAATATTCTGTTTTAGACTTATTGAGGTTTGTTTGAAAATTAATTTCACTAAAAAATTCGTAAGTGTTGGAATTGCTATGAATTTTTGAAGTCTGCACTACAAATTCTGGAAATTATGTTTTCTGCAGATTAGGTACTTTCAGGAAACGATTTAGTACCTTTATACTTGTCTAAAATGAATGATATAAAATTCTGGAGATTCCTTTATATGTCTAGTTTAATTCTGGAAGGTTTCAGTTAAAGGTTAATTTGATATGAATTTCCCAAGTCAGCAACATCAATTCTGAAAAATTGTTTGTCAGTTTTGAAAGGTTGAAAGAAAATCATACTTTAAATAGTTTTTTGATTCTGGAATGGCTTAGAAAATATTACTGGATATGTGTCTGAAGTGCCCTACTGAAATTGTAGCTTGTTTTGTTGAGTAGAGTTTTTATGAAAAATCCAGGAGTGAGGACTTGTCCATTTTAGAGTACAGTTTTAGTTAAAAAGGGAGTTAAGTTTAGTAAATCATTACCTTCCCCTTTCCCTTTCCCATTCCCTGTGCCTTTACCTTTTCCATTCCCATTCCCATTCCCTTTCCCTTTCCCCATCCCTTCTAAGCCTATATGCAATGTTCATTGGGTTTTTATTCTTGTTTAGCCCTATGTTCCTCAATTATAGTCATGTGTGAGAATTCCTTTACATGTGTCTTACAAATGGAAGGTGTGAACTTATTATCAGCGTGGCTTTGTAATGATTATGATGAGGCAGTTTCATCTGAGAGTGCTACTCAAAGCTCTTTGGAGAAGAATACCCTGCGGAATGCAACCTTCCCTAGTGCATCTGAGGTGAGTATTTATCCTCAACAGCATTTTTTGCCCTATATTCACATACAATTCTCAGTCCTTATTGTTGCTTATAGTTGTATATCTTCTCCTTTCCATTTGCTTTAAAGGTTATTTCATATAAATTGATTAATTGTGCTCATCTCTTGAGGTTATGCATTTCTATGAGAAGAAAGCCTTGAAATTTTTTGTTTGGTACCACTTTCCAGGAGCAAATTTCATTGCTCCTTTTTTAAATTGAACTTCATTCCCTCAAGAGTTTAAGGAAATTTATCAAATGATAATGCATTTTGCTGCCTTGATATTAATCTGCAGTTCTTGCGATCTAAATTACTCTTGCAATGAATTAATGGCAGGTAATTGGAGTAAGTTGATGATGGGTATGGTAGATAGCATGTTTGTGACAGATATGAAAATTGCCCGAGGGTAGAGATGGGCTGGGTTTTGCTTCCTCCACACAAGCTTCCCATCTTGCCCAGCCCAAAATTAAAGGAAACGAAAGGGTCAAACTAAAAGGAAGGATAAGTAGTGTTTAGACTTTAGAGTACTGGGTGAGTTGGGCCAAAACCAAAGCCCAAATTGTAAGTAAAGGGAAAGATCGATCAGAGTTGGTGGCAATAGCAGCGAATGTTAACCCCATTTTCTCGCAAACTACTACTCAGATCTCTTTATCTCTATCAGCTGTGCCTTCTCCTTTGACCAAAAACTCGAAGATCCACCTTCTTGTCTCGTATCATCTCATGTGTTCTCTTGTTCTTTTGTGTTTTCTCTTTCTTTTTATGTTCTTCGATCTGCTCTCTCCGTTTGGGTTTTGGTTTTTATCAAAAGAAACTCACTGTTATGTTAATGTGAATATCGTATGAGTTAAGTTAATATCTTTATGCTCTCATTTTTATTTTACTTGCTTTTATTTTTATTTTGTTGGATTCATGTAATTTGATTAGATTTTGTAACTCTTTTTTGTGTTATAATTTTTTAGAAATGTATTTAGAGGAACTTTTTTTTTTTTTTTTTTTCAATTTCTGTATTTTTATTATGAACGCCACAATCTGGAACTTAGGATCTTCTTGACCGGCAATAGAACCCTTGAGAGAGAGCTTAGAAAAGTTTATTGATTCAACACTATTCTTCCTGATGATGCAAACTAGGTAAGTTGATTTTTAACGTAACCTTGCCTTTTGAAGTCATTTTGATGCTTGAATGTAAAACTTTAAGTAAATGGGAGCAATGCTGCCACATAATTCTGTGCTGCAAGTATGGTGCTTTAAATTTTTTCACATGGGTGTAGTATACATGAAGTGCTATATGGTAGTATCGCTCACCATAAAGTGAGCAATGTTTGTCCACCCACTATGTTGGAGTAATGACATCACATTTTCTAAACAAATTGTGTAACTAAGTTTTGAATTGAATGCATATTCAACAACTAATATTACATTTGGAATATAAAATTAATTTGTCTTGGAAATGGCATATTTTAAAGGTAATTGCAACTCCCATGACGGAATTTCGAAGAGTATCCCATGCTTGCTTGGAATTGGTTTCGTTGGCAACCTTCTCGAACATATCATCATCTATGCCTTGATGAATAATGGTAAGCGCACATTGATCCTTCTTCCTTTCTTTCTTCGAGGCATCCTTTTGAGCATGATTCAACTCCTCTTCATTTTGAGGTTCTACATTAACCTTTTTCAACAACCTCCCATACTCCTTGGGAACCAAGGAAAGCCTTCATTCGAATTGCCCAATTCTCATAATTGTGCTTGACGAGTTGCTGGTATTGGAAAGAAAGAGTGGCTACTTTGGAAGACATTCTCTTCAATCAAGCCTCTATACCACTTTGTTGAAGCAAGATGGGCACAAAGCTCACAAGGAAAGAGGAAATAGAAAAGGGATTCACAAATCAAACTTCTTATTTCACTTGTTGAACATAGCTTGAGTACATGACTATATATACTACTCAAAAGAAAACTCAAGAGTCTAAATTTAAGAACATATAATTCTATTCACGTCCATTGGACGTTTTACACACCAAAAGACACACATATTGCGGTTTCTCCTGTTTCTTGGTTTTCATTAAACAGTCAATAGTAAGTTGGTCATAACTTTCTCAATAAAACTCTAATTAATAAACGGTTTGAAGCTTTGGAAATTAGATAGACATGAATTTAATTTGATATATTATACACTGAATTTGGATGACTGTAGACTCTTCAAATTCTGATCGAAAATTAATATGTTGCAATAAAGTCAAGTATAATTTTCAACAAGCCATTCTCACCAGTACAAAGAGCCCTAAAGTTTTTAGCCATCCAGAGCGACATCAGTTAAGAGCTCCACAACGATTCTCCCCTCGAGTTCTCCTCCAATACTTATGTCCAAGAAACACCTTGGTCTCGCCATCTTCTTCTTCTTTTTTCTTTGTAAATATTCTAGAGGTTCGTTTTCTGTGAAGAAGAAAGAAACACAGCAGAACAAAACAAAAAAAAACCTTAGACTCGCTACTTTATTTTTATGGTACAATCCCGCTATTTTTTAATTTTTGGGCGCTATTCATTCATAGTTTGCAATTAATGCCTTCTTGTTTTCCTCTTTAAACTCTCTGCTCTTTGTTTTATTGTGATCTTTTTGCTTTCTTTTTTGTAATTTTTTTTTTTTTTTTTTTTTTTGGCCGCTATTTATTTATGGTTTGCAATTAATGCTTTCTTGTTTGCCTCTTTGAACTCTCTGCTCTCTGTTTTATTGTGATCTTTTTGCTTTCTTTTTTGTAATTTTAACCTTTTTGAGGGACTTTTTGCAATTCCATTATTCCAATAAACTAGATTTGATATGACAAATCCTAATTCAATAATTTTAATAAACTAAAAATAATATTTTTTATCATTTTATAAATCTTCAGGGTTTTAAGAAATATAATGTCCTATTAGCTTGTTAATTGATTGAGATTAATTAGGACTTTTTCAAAAAATAAAAAAATAAAAAAAAATGTGGATGAAGAGTTGGGGTATTTCGTTTATAAAGGAAAGCATGAATGGTCAACTACACGTGCATTTAATTATAATCTTGATTTTGTACATTGTGATTTGTTCATTTTATAAATAATTTTATGTTACTTAATTGCTCTCAAAATTAATTTAATTCTAGTAATTAATCCACTAGAGTTAAATTTATTTTTTATTTGATAAAAAAATTAATATATTAATTTTAGGAAATTATGAGATGAGATTGTACAAAATGTACAGTTTGTGCTTGGTAAAGTGTGTTTTTTGTACATAAAAATAAAATAAAAAATATGATGGAAGGTCAAGTAAACGGCATGTTCCCACCCAAGGTTTGGCCAAACGACACTTTTCCACCCAAAAAGCTTCAAAACAACACTTTTACACCCATTGGCCAGACCCGGTAATAAATTCCCATTCAGAAAAAAAGCAGGATGGTCAAAAATCCTCTCTAAAGAAGGGTAGGAGAGTCAATTTACATGTAGCCGCAAAAATCAATATTTAAAATTCAAAATATCTATCAGTGTAGTGGCGGTGGTTGCCACGTGACCCATCAAAGTTGTCTTTAGAAAATAAGGGAAAAGCAAGTCATTTATCTTCTGGGCTTATTCGGAGCGGCAAGTGGCAAAATAATAGGGTTGAAAGCATTGGCTTGAGATTGTTTACGACAAAGACTGAGAAAAAAATAGGGTTCTAAGTGGCGACTGGCGATTAGTTAACCGGGAAGGACGACAACTGAAGGAACACCGGCGACAATGGACTACTGAAGGCTGTTTAAGGTTTAGGGTTCGACTGTTTACGCTGTAGGTAACCTTCTTCTTCTGTTCTTTTCGTTTTAGGTTAAAAACTAACTCATATTTGATGTAATTATTTTATGTATTAACTCATATTTTGTGCTTTTGATTTTGATAGTTTGTTGAGATAAGAGACAATTGGTACTGTGTTGGGACTCTCATTCGAGGTTAATGTTTACAAAAAATGGGTTAAAGAATTATGCAATTCAAGAGGGCTTTGCATCAAGGAAGTTATCAATTCAAAAACTTTCTCGTTCATGTTTGTTTCTCGGGAAAATTATTTACATTTTGTGTGTTGAATTGATAAAAACAAACGAAGTTGGCGCAAGATGAGAATCAGATGTTGGAAAATATGCTTCAGGTTTTGCTTCTGCAATTGGTGGTGCGTTTCTTACTATTTTGACTTCAGTAATTGAGATTCAGCATTTTACTAGCTTTATGTTTGTTATTTTTCACTAGAGGTGGAAAATTTGGGCCGGGTTAGGCGGTCAACCCTAACCCGATCCGATAAAATGCGGGTTAAACCCGGCAGCAACCCTCGGGCAGGTCGGGTTGCACAATGGCAACCCGCAACCCGTTGGGTTGCTGTTTTGTCTCTTTTGCAAGAGACCCGACAACTCGCCGGGTTGGCTGTGTGCAACCCGGTGGGTTGTACGTTACAACCCGCCAACCCGGCGAGTTGTAACGGCCAACCCGCCGGGTTGAAACAGCCAATCCGACAGGTTGGCCGAAAAAAAAAATTTATTTTATTTTTTAAATTACCCATTTACCCTTGAAATATAGCCGTTTTATAGCCGTTGGAAGGGTCTTTTTCGTCATTTTTCTTTCCCATTTTTCCTATAAATTGGCCCTAAACTCTCACATTTTTCTCACAACTCAAATTCTCTCATTCTCTCATATTCTCTAATCTCTAATCTCTCAATTATTCATTTATTAGTTTTTGCAATTTGCTCATATTTTAATTTTTATTAGTTTTTGCAATTTTTAATTCATATTTCCAATTTTCCAATTTTCCAAATTCCAATTTCCATACTCCAATTCTCTTTCTTTAATTTTTATTTCTTCTACATCAAATTTTTTCTTTTTCAACTACAATGGATAGATATTTATCTCTCATCAATTACAATGATGACGGAAACTACTATCCTAGTCCTAGTCTCGCTGATTTTACTAACATAAATGCAGGAGGAGATTCAAATAGTCCCGCTTTTCCATTCTCAGAATCCAATACACCTCAAACTATGCCCCCGATTCCAACAGCTCCCGGTGGTTCTAGAAGTCGTCCTCGTAATCGTCATGCTCTTCAAACTTCATCTCAAGCTGAGGCGGGATCATCAACTGCCGTCGGAAGCGAAGACAGATACACATCAGACGTTTGGGCGCATTTTGACAAGTTTTACGAGACAGAAAATGGCGTTCAAGTCAAGAAAGCGAGATGCAAATACTGTGAAAATATGTATAAAGCTGATTCAGGTAATGGTACTAGTACTTTAAAAAGGCATGCTAATAAACATATTAATCAACATAGAAATAGAGAAAGCAATCAAACTCAAATAACTAATATGGGTACTAATTGGCGTTATAATTCTGATGTATATAGGGAACATTTAGCTTTATATATTGCTGCAACTGATCAACCTATTAATATGGCTGAAGATAAATATTTTGAAAGATTTGTTCAATATTCATTTTTTCCAGGATTTAAAAGTTATTCTAAAACTGCAACTAGAAATGATTTAATAAAATTGTTTAAAAAAATGAAATTAGAATTAAAAAATAAAATACATACTTGTCATGTTAGTGTGGCTCTAACTGCCGATATTTGGAGTGGTAGAGCTAAACAAGATTATATTTGTGTGACTAGTCATTATTTTGATAATGAATGTAAATTAAATAAATCTTTATTAGGATTTAGATTAATGGATGTTGATCATAGTGGTGAACAAATTTATAATAAAATTGTTGAAGTTTTAGAAGATTATGATGTTGTTAGTAAAGTGATAAGTTTAACTTTAGATAATGCAAGTTCTAATAGTAAAGCTATAGATTATTTTCAAAGTAATTATCCTTTATATAACAATTTGAAGTTTTTTCACCAACGTTGTGCATGCTATGTTATTAATTTAATTGTGAAAAGTGGTATGAAAACAATTAAAGAAAATATTAATAGAATTAGAGATTGTTTAGCTTGGATTACTTGTAGTAATAAAAGAAATGTTGAATTTCAAGACGCTTGTATAAAATCAAATATGTCTCCTAGAACTTTTGCATTAGACATGCCTGTTAGATGGAATAGTACTTATTTAATACTTGATTCATGTTTACCTTATGCTAATATAATTAGTTATTTTGTAGCAAATAATAGAGGTCCTCATTAGTTGGTAGAAAATGATTGGCAAATAGCTAAAGTATTTCATTCTTTTCTTAAAACTTTTTACCAATCCACTTTACAACTTTCTGGTGTGTATTATCCTACTAGTCCATTGGTAATACATACAATTATAAAAATTTCCGAGTTATTTATAAAAAACAAAGATAATGTAATTTTAAATGCACCAATAAAGGCAATGGAATTTTTTTTTTTAAAAATATTGGGAACCCATTCCTTTTCTTTATTGTTTAGGTGCTATATTTGATCCTAGAATTAAATTAGCAGGTTTAGAAAATGGTTTTGACAATTTATGTGAAAATTTACAAATCGAAGTATATGCCAATCAAATAGGAGAGGTAAAAAATACACTTTTCGAAGTATATTTCCAGTATGAAAACAGGTATTGGAACCCGCAAAGAGGCGAAACATCCAGGGAAGCTGCATCAGAAGAAACAAATGAAGACTTCTACTCTTGGGGTGCACTGAATAGGCCGAAGAGGACCCGAATCCGAAGCACAACCTCCTCTTCAGAGGCTCCACCACCACCAACAACAACAACTAATGTACTACTGTCTTCCATGCAGTCGCAGAGTAATGAGCTTCAATAATATTTGATAGCCCCTAAAATGTTACCAGTAGATCCAAAACAGAGAGCCAACATTGATCTTTTAGACTATTGGAGAGCCAGAAAATGTATTTTTCCGGTATTATCAAGACTTGCCTTGGATGTTTTCGCTGTTCCTGTCTCAACCGTCTCATCCGAACAAACATTTAGTGCAAGTGGAAGAATTTTAAATGAAAGGAGGACTAAACTTACACCACAAATGATTGAAGTCCTCACATGTCTTCGAGATTGGGAACGGTCGCGCCACCAAGGTCAATACGAGGTTGTCGATGATACTTTAATAGAATCATTTCAATTTTGTAATATAGATGATACGGATGAGGGAGGTCCTAGTGAACCCCAAAATTAGTTGTTTTGTAAATTGTAACTTGGAAATTAATTGTCAATTATTGCACTCTTTTTTTCTTACCAAGTTTTTGTCATATTGGGTTTTTCTTGGTGAGGTTTTTAACGAGGCAATAATTATTGTAATTTCTTATTTTATTTTTTAATAAATGAGTAAATTTAATTATTCTTATATTACAATTTTAATGTATTAAAATTGAATCAATATTTGGAATGTTAACAAAAAAAAAATTAATTTAATTTAATTATTGACATTTGAAAAGAAATTAACAATTAATTAAAAACAATTACATTTATAAATTGTTAATTATTCATTTGAAAAGTTAATTAAACATTTAAACTTAAATAAAATAAAACAAAACAAAATTAAAAAAAAAAAAGTAAAAAAGCGGGTTAACCCGGCCCAACCCGCGCCTAACCCGTGCCTAACTCGGCGGGTTAGGGTTGGCGGTCCAGGTTTGGCCAACCAATTCTCTAATGTTGGCAGGCCTAACCCGGCCCGCCAATGTCGCCGGGCGGGTCAGGACCGACCCGCAATTTGCAGCAACCCGCTGCGAGCTGGGTCGGGTTGGGCCGGGCGGGTTGCTTTTCCACCTTTATTTTTCACTTTAAAAAGTGGTGGTTTCAAATTGATTGTTGTGTTGCTGGCAAGCACTCTTGAATGCTGTAAAAAGTGGTTCTTTGTTAATTTGTTTATTTGAAACGAATTTGGCGCAAGATGACATTCTCAACGAATTAGAAAATATGCTTTGGGTTTAGGAATTGGTGGTACATCCCTAACGATGACCTCACAAACTTAGGTTCGGCATTTTTCTAGCTTGTGTGTTTGTTAATTTTCACTAAAGAAGTGATCTCTGAGAAATGTTGATGTTAAAAATATTACTTGAAGTGCTCTTTTGATTCCTGAAGCCTTTTGTAATGTTGAAAGCACTCTTGAATATCTAGTTTTTTTGTTTATTTGAAACAAAACTAGTACAAGATGAGAACCAATTGTTAAAGTAGATGCTTGGACTACTCATTTAACTCCTGAAACCACTTAAATGATGCCAAATGTTTATTTTTTGTTAGTTTACCTAAGAGATTGGTATGTTGGTACAGTCTTCCACATCGGATTCAGGAGAGCCAGTAATGCAGTATGGACAATCAATTGATGACGGGGAAATTAGCCAGGCTCAAAATCCACGGCTTCTCGATCAGTAAATGCTTTTGTTGTTAATTTGCTGCCTGACAGTTTATATATGTAATTCTTTGAATAGGCAATGTTGGACAATTTGTGACACAAGTGCAATGTAAAGGAAGAAATTGGATTCGCTTTGCAAGAAAGTCATTGGTGTAGCATTGTTTGTGATTGATAAGTGATGCATTGGTTATTGTATATTCATGCAAAATGACACTTTTATGAACATGTATATTTATTTATTTTTTATATTACTAGTTTCTTTCTTTCTAGTTCTTAAATTTTGTGAAACTTCAGCCATTGGTGTTATGTGGGGTGGTGTCTAAGGCCTTGGATTCAATACAAATTGGGTGTGAAATTATCTCTTTGTAATAGTGGATGAGAGTGGAGGTAAGGACATATTTTGTTTTGGTGCAAAATGTAAAACCTTTTTGTTTTGTTTGTTTCAGTTTAAAATGAAATCTGAAATGCACCACGGTGAGGATGATTGTCCTGTGGCAGTTCCAGGTCATTGCCATGTTACTGTTCCTTGGAACTTATTGAATATCTTTGTGTACAATAGGCATTTGTTTGGGCATGTGGAATACTGTAATTACTGTATGGATATTTGCTTGAAAGAGTTTAGGATTAAAATGAAAGGATTTGCTTTAGGTGTTGTCATTAGCTAAGCTTCACTTTTAACTTCTCTTTTCTTCTAATGTTGAATATCACTTGTATTGATTTCAGGCCGTTGCTGATGATTTGGGAGTCTTATGGGTATATATGATTGGAGCAAATTTTTAGCAGGTTCATTTGCTGGTTTGTCAATTTTTATTGTTTTCTAGCCACTGATTAAATGTGATAAATAGCAAATTTAACTGATTTTTCTTTGCTGTTGGAAACATTTGATAGGATAATTAGAGCTTCCTTGGTGGAAAACAAAAGATTGTGAAGAAGGTTTTGAAGATCCAGAAAGCAAATGAAAAGCAAGCTTTAAGGAGCTAGAAAGTGGGAAGGGAAAGCAAAACTTTTTGGATTTTAAGAAGTGAATGAGAAACTGTCTTATAAAAACATCACCTGAAATGCTTCTGCTTTCTTTGTATTGAATTTCCTGTTTTTATTGGTTTGAATTGACAAAATGATTCGAATATATATGCACTGTAATTTTTTAATTTGGGTTCTTATTTAACCAAATCAGTTATGCCAATACTTATTTTGTTGGGTTTAAATTGACAATTTCTTGCATATTAATGTCAGTTTAGACTGCAGCAAATAGAGGGACAAAATGGTAATTTTAAAAGTTTAAAATTTTCAAAAGATTTAAAACATTATTTTAATTAAAAAAAAAAGTAATTTAAATCCCATAACTGAGAGTATATCAGTAATTTTATATATAAATGAGGTATATAGGTAATTGATACTATTGATACATTATTAAGTTAAATAGTAAAGGGTATTTTTATCCTTACAATGAATATAAACTATAATTAACAGAATTTACTAACGGAACATAACAGTGGGTGGAAAAGTGACGTTGGCCAAACCTCGGGTGAGAAAATATCGTTTCCCCTCAACTTTTAACTTTGTAGTAGCGCCAATTCCTATTCCTTTTAATCTTTTCAAACAAGTCCCTAAATAAAGGGCGTCCATTATTTGGGATTGTGAAATAATAATAGAAGGATCAAAAGCAAAGGGAACCCTACTTCTCAGAATCCGGTTCTTGTCTCTTCCATAATTTATTTGTCTTCTTCTAAATCATCATTTCTTTTTTAAAATACTTCAATTTTGTTTTTAATCAATGGCTTCAAGTTCAACACTTTATATGATAGTGGCTTGTTTGTTTAAAAGGACTTTTAACTCATGATGCCCAACTTTATAATATTTTCTTCTTCTTCTTCTTCTTCTATTTTTATTAAATAATCTATTATCTAAAATGATACAATCCGAGTTACAGGAGATCTAAAATGAATGTTGCTTGGAAAGCTCTTTAGACTTTCACAGCCTGACAAATATAAGTACTGGAGCTTGTGGAGGCATTTGAATAGATAAGGGAACATCAACCAAGCTTCTACAATCCCCAAGCCTAATACTCTCAAGTTGTGGGGCCTCTGACAGGTCTGGAATGTCAATCAAATGACGGGGAATTACAGAGATCAATCAATTTTAACTTGAAGGCATGCTATGAGAAAAGATAAATGACTAGAATAAGCAAATCACCTTATGTATATTCAATGAATCACTGAAACATGTATTCAATAATAAACCATACCTTTCCCCCTTTCCAAAGTTGTTTAACATTGCTATGAGGCAATTTAAGATGAACAAGATTCTCTAGACTGAATTTGGTTGGCAATGATTTCATAGGACACCCTGCCCAATAGAGATACCTCAAGATATTTTATTCCTCCGGGAATACGCACTTTAGAAATATCGGCAATACCTTCATCAAGCTGAGGATGGTAGAATTCAAGCAATCTAAGATTTGACATCTTCTTGAAGGCTCCAGAATGTAATTGTATGTCACTTATTTTAGACATATCTATGAATATAACTTCAACTGAATCAGTCTCCTAATAACCAAAGCAAATAATAAGTCAACATAAAATACACAAAAAGGTTTCCTAAATTTATATTAAGTGAAGGCAAAAATTGCATGAGTTGATTATTTATTCACATCTACTATAGGAAACCAAATCAAATTAATAAGGCTATTACCTTGTTATTTTACAATACATGGGTGACATCTTCGTGATACCACAACCTACAACATTTGCTCGGCTTTTTATCATATTCTTGGCGAACAATCTCCCAACCCAATTCTTGCACTAAATCATGCATTTGTAGGTTATTATAGTGTGAAATCGTTATGAGCGACTTATCAATAAGGACACCCAATGCTGAATGAACAAAGAGGTAACAATCATTTAGTATTTCTGTTCTTTTATAAATATTAGCCCCTTTAAAGAAACACGTAATGTCAAGAAATACATAATGCTCTTCAAGATCTAGTCCATCATAACTAATTTTCAATACCTTATGAATTTCAGGATTAGGAATCCTTTTTAATTTATGCACTGGATTTTCCCAATCTTGTTTGCTCTTACGGAATACTGGAATAGGGAGGAACCCAAAACTTTTGGAGGCAATGGATTGCCATTGGCATATTCTATTACCTTCTTTGAAAGCGACATAAGATCTTCAATGGGATGGTTTTGTTTGAAGGCATATTTAAAAAAGAGCAAAAGAGCTTCATGGTCACTGAATCCCTCCACTTATATATTTTATCCACCCCGTAACTATAAAGAACTTGTTTATCTCGAGCTGTTATAATTATTCTACTTCCTACACCAAATCGATCAAGCCCTCCAGCTAAAAATTCCAATTGTCTTAAATTGCCCACATCATCAAGTACAATGAAACCTTTTTGCGTCGAAGCCTCTCTTGAATATATTGAGGTAATCAAGAGTGCCTATTTTGAGATTTTCTTCTAATATTTGCGAAAGAACTTGCTCTCGCAGACGACAAAGTCCAATTTGTTTCTCTGATTCTTCCCTTACATTTGCAATGAAACAAAAACCTTCAAACTTACAAGAAATTTGGTTAAACAATGCTCCTGCAATTGTTGTTTTACCAATACCACCTATGCCCCAAATTCCTACCACTCGAAAATCTGGCAACGCAATGCAGATTACTTGGTCACAGAAGAATGAGAATCTCATCCTAATAGATTGGCTACTTCAGTCAAAGCAATCCTCCATTTCTAAACCTTGTGGGTCATCTCCTTGAATCGTTCTTCATGTTTATCAAAAGCATCCTCAAAACTACCACTCTGCTTCCGTACATCTGAAGGATTTATATTATAAAAAAAAGGTATAACCATATGATTATTCAATTTCCTACATTTAAGAATTTGTACAAGTTCGTCCAAGCACCATGGGGAAGACGCATAGTCTTTTGAAAAAATGACTACTGAAATCTTGGTAGATTCAATTGCTTTCAAAAGCACAGGTGAAATACCATCTCTTCTTTGAAGTCCACTGTTATTAATAAAGGTTTCAATCTGTTTTCGCTGCAAAGCGGCATAGAGATGACTAGTAAAGTTATCACGAGTGTCCTCGCCTCTGAACACTAAGAAAGACATCGAATTTGGCTTGAAGGGTAGAGGAATTACAAGACAACCATGAAGCCATAAACAGAAAATACAAGATTGTATGATGCGAAATTAGTGAACAGACCAAAGAGATTCTCAATTTTAAGAAGTGAACTTCACCATCAAGAAATGCTGCTCCCTTACGCGACTTCTTATGACTTTCTTCGACCTTTCTATTACAACAAACTGCAAGAGAGCAGTGGTCAGAGGAAAAAATATTGATAATATAGAAGACCTATTACTCTTCTGGGTAGTTTCTAAGTTGTAGATAATTAACAAGTTGGTTGGATCATCGAAGGTAGACAGATGAGGCTAAGGTGTTTGATAAAATGCTTAAAAGGGAGTATTACATTTTTCACTTCAACATGATTCATGGTGATAAATAATGGTATAGCTTAAACAATGATTGTGGAAGTTAACGTTTCTTTTACCTTGCTTATGCTTAGTAATTATGTTAAAATTGATACTTCAGTGTTCATTACAATGAAATTAATGAAAAGAAAGCAACTTTATACATACAAATTTAGTGTTATTTTATTATTACCATGAGTAATACAGGAAGTAGAATCATAATTAATTGAGGAATAGAAGAAGAAAAAGAATATGAGTTAAAATAGGCCATGAATGTAGACAAGATATGGTCCAAATTAGGAAGAGGATCCCACATTCTCCTAGAACACTCGAAATCCTTCCTCAACTAGAAGTCCTACAGTTACAAGGAAAGTAACTCTCTCAAACCCTAATCTACTTCACTCTATGAATAGAGCTAAACGACATGGAATGATATCTAAATATCACTCAGGGAAGAATTACACTTGAGCACTCTGAATTGAAGCTAACAACAGTCATATTTAGCCTCCGCCCCTATTCTAAACAAGTGAATTGCCCATGCCAAAGGAAAATGTAGGGGTGAGCACGGGTAGCGGGTAGAACCGGAACTGGGGGTAAGAACCAGAACCGGAACTGGAACCTACCCAGAACCTGCACTGTGCGGGTAGGTTCCGGTTCCAATTTTTTTGGAACCGCTACTGTGCGGTTCCGGTTCCGGTTCTTGCATGTGGAGGAACCGGAACCGGAACCGGAACCTGTAAAAAGGGTACCCTGTTTGGAACCTGTAGGGGGTACCCGGTNAAGAGATATTACATTTTTCACTACAATATGATTCATGGTGATAAATAATGGCATAGCTTAAACAATGATAGTGGAAGTGGACGTTTCTTTTACCTTGCTTAGTAATTGTGTTAAAATTGATAGTTAACTGTTCATTACAATGAAATTAATGAAAAGAAAGTAACTTTATACATACAAATTTAGTGTTGTTTTATTATTACAAGTAATATGATAGATATTTTTGTACACTAACTTATATAATACAAAAGTGTATGTATTTTCGATAGAGTTTTATTTTATTTTATTTTTTTAATTTAAAATGGTAATACAAATTTTCAATCTTCGATTTGCTTAATTGCTTCAATTTAGAGTTCTAAATGGGTTGTTACAAGTATTATTCTATGTATCGCCTCATCACCTTTTAAACCTCTGGATTATGATTCATGAATCATTGATTATCAATCATTCAAATTAAGTTGAAAATGATAAAAGCTTTTTAACTCTGGCTGTAATCTCACGAGAAAACAAAATTTCTCCACAGAACCCTACGGCCTATGATCACCCTCCAACCATTTACAACAATCTGACCAGGAGCTATTTTGTTTTCTACAAAGAACTACCTTAACTCATTTGGGATAAGGAGTCTTAATTCACGCTTGAAAGCGTAGAGATAAAAAGTTACAACCCCTGCCGGAAGGCTAGATGGGGATTGCACTCCATAGGGGATCGAAAAACAATGTCTTCAAGAATCTGGTATTTACTTCTATAACACCCCAATTTCCCCCCCCCCTGTCACACTCTGCGATTTCGTCTCTTGATAGGAAATTTGGAGCTACTAATGATTTCTACACTCATGGTCTCGGAGCTGGAGAACACATTACAACTCTTCTCATCACTAGAATATGCTTCTATCCTAGTTTGGGAAACTTTTACCTCCTACATGATTAAACCTAAAACTTCAGGGTTTCAACGAAATATCAACATCCACAGCGAGCAAAAACAAACAAATAGCAATGGACGACAACAACTCAGTCCTCAATCAAGATCAATCAAGTACAAAAAATACAGAAAATCGAAAAAAATCCTAGAGACATGCAAATCTATGGTGTATCATAAAGGATAGAGCACAAAGTCATGACGAAGTAAAAAAATGCCATAAAAGTAACTTGAAAGTAACAACTAACGGAGCGATTTGATCGAATGGTGATCTTTGCCGAAGCTGAAATTCGTCACAAGTAAAGGTTAAAAGGCATGAAAATCGACAAAGAAATAGCAAAAATGGCAAAGTGCGAGTTTATGTAAGGCGCCGTCCACACCTCGTTTAGGCCATTAGATGAACCGCACGACCAAGAAGCGAAGCGCATGCGGTAGCTGCCAGGTGTCATAGCCATATGATCTACACACTTCACAATAGTTAATATGACGCGAAGTAGCATGTACGAATGCGTAAATGCGCCACTCGTATCAGGCGCCATAACAAACATCTACTTGTGCAGTGTCCAACCGCCATAAATAGCAAATTTTAAGTTTGAAATTCGAATCGCTTAAAAGCCTAATCTGCAATAAAAAGCAGCAATGCTGTAGAGTTTGTAACCTTGCGAGACTTAGAGAATTGAAGCAGGAGAATTGGCTTATAGGGGCGTTTGATGGGCGGTCATGTGAGATTATTAGGGGCGTTTGGTTGGGGGTTAAAGTGGGATTACTGGGGTGATGTCATCTTATATTACTTGATTACCATGTTTGGTTGTCAAGTAATATCAGATACCGGTAATCTTCAAATACCAATAGTGGTTATTATTGGTAATATCAGAGGTAATCATTTTCTTATGTATTATGAGATTACCAGGGTTATCTTTTTTTGTTAAAATTTTATCCCTTGTTCTACTTTAAAACAAATTTATATTAATATCCTATTTCAATTTTACCCTTGTTTAATTAAAATTTTCGATAATAATGCCCTTATATTTAAAATTATTTACGGACCACCACTGCCACCCAGCCACCACCACCACTGCCACCCAGCCACCACCGCCGACAGCAGGCCAACCACCACGGNTTTTTTGGTATTCGAGGGTGTCTAGGCTAGCTTACGTGTACCTCAACTAGTCTCCTAAGGTCCTGAATAAATTGGAATGATAAAATGCTTGAAGATTACCATAAATTTTTAGGGAAATATGTTTGGTTAGGTTGGAATAAATTGGTGGGTATGTTTAGGGGTGCATACGAGCTGAGCCGAGCCGAGTAGTAGCTGGCTCGAGCTCGGCTCGAATATATTAGGAGGAGGCTCAAGCTCGAGCTCGAGCTCGGCTCGTTTAAAAAAATAAACGGCTCGAGCTCGGCTCGACTATTTATAAGAATTTAAGAAAACGACGTCGTTTTGAACCTATCTGCTTCTTCTTCTTCCACCGCCCCTCCCATTAATTTCTCAGTCGATGCTAAAGAATCTGTTGAGACCAAAATCCAAAGCCTCATCTCCACCTAGTCATAATCTTCAGTCGATCTTCCTGCTGCATGTGCCACATCATGAGGAAACTACTCGCCACCATCGGAGTTCACCCCACCGTCATTGAACTCGTGAGATCTCAGCTTTACCTCCAACCTCCTCTCATGGGGCACCTGCGTCAGTGGCCTTGACTCTCTCTTTGCCCTCCATCTCAACAGCCACCTCGTGCCTAAGCTTGTTGAAGTTGTGTTTTTGGGTTTGTTTTTATTTGTTGATTATCTTTGTTTTTGGGTTTGTTGATTATCTTTGTTTTCGGGTTTAGTCTTCAAAATACTGAAAACAAGTTGAAGCTGCAATCGACGGTGGCTGATGTTGCGGTGTGAAGAAGCGAAGATGACGGTGAGCTCGCGAACTGTCATCTTTTTTAAATATTAATATAATATTATTTTTAGAATCACTTTTAACCCTCTACATTTGAAATTTTGCTAAAACAACCCAACCATATAAAAGTTTAATTTCTAATAAAATCATCACCCACACCAAGCCACTGTTGGTCGCCGGCCACCACCGTCAACCACTGTCGAAAAACAATGCATGACTGGATCCGATCGACCGTGCATTAATATGGCCGTTTTCGGCCACATCAATGGTTGGGAACGACCATATTTATGGCTGTTAAGCGCCATGGATCTAGCTGTTTCTGGCTAGATCCATCAATTTGGCTAGAAACGACCAAAATAGATCTGGTCGTTTTCGGTCAGATCTATGGCCATATGGTCGAAAACGGTAAGATTGGCGCACAACGGCTGACAATGGTTGGCCAGTGACTGGTAATGGTGGCTAGTAGGCGACAATGGTCCTAGGTGACCTGCAATTTGTTTTAAATATAAGTGCATTATTGTCCAAAAACTTAATTAATTAGGGTTAAAATTGTAATTGTAGGTTCATGTAAATTAATTTCAAAATAAGGGCATTATTGTCCAAAATTTTAATAATTAAGGATAAAATTGTAACAAAATTAAGATTACCAAGTAATCTTAAAATATTTAAGAAAATGAAGGTAATCAGATTACCACCTATATAACCAACAATAATTATTGTTGGTTTTGTAAAGATTACCGAAATCTTATATTACTTGACAACCAAACGTGGTAATCAAAGTAAATATAAGATAACATTACCTCAATAATGGGGGGATTACCCCCCAACGAAACACATCCTAAATTGGTTGCAATAAGCCTCACAAGTTGAAAGGTTGCTAGAAAGAATGTGAAATCCTATCCATTGGAATTTTTGGCTCCATTATACATAAAAAATCAAGATGATGTAGGTTGCAAAGGTTAGCTAACTACAACGGAGAATCAGTGTTAGCAATACCCTGAATATTCCAAAAATATAAATTGCATCGAGAAGAGGTGGGAGATTTGTCGCTAGTCAA